ACCGCGTGCTACAATGGCGGGGCTCGCACCGGATTACGGGGACTCGTACCGGGCTGGGGAGAGGCACCGGGGGGGCTCGTACCGGCCCGGTGTGGGGGCAACAGCGCTGCCGGGATTGGGTTGCACGGGAGGCTGGAGGAGCGGAGGGTGCAGCTCTGTACCTGAGGAAACGGTTCCGGCGTAGGGGGCTTCCAGCGAGCCGGGAGGGGGGGCGTTGTACCGGGCACAGGGGGGTTGTACCGGTCCGAGAGGGGTTGTACCGGTCCGGGAGGGGGGGCGTTGTACCGGGCAGAGGGGGGGGTTACGCCGCGCCATGAGGGTGCTCCGCCTTAGGGCTCGGTCCTCCACCGCCAGGGGGCGTGCGCACTCCTCGTTCGGGGGTTCGCGTCCCCTCTAGGGACAGCTTCCGGTGCGCTCTATTGCGCCGCCCTGCCGGGCCGGGCAGCCATGTTGCCTGCGAGGGGAAGTGGCGGCCCGGAGCCCCGCTAAGATGGTGGAGAGGAGGCCTCGGGGGGCGTAGGGGGTTCGTCCCCTCCCAACTCCCCCCGAACCCGGCCTGCGGGGCGACCTGGGGCCCATGGAGCAGCACTAGGGTGAGCCCGCCGCCGCGGGAGGCCGGGGCTCGGGGGGGGAGCAGCGCTGCGGTGCCGGGGAGGGCGGCGGGGGCCGGGGTTGAAGGCGGCTGAGGGGCCGAGGGCTTTGCCCGGAGCTTTTTGTTGGCTTTCTAAGCTTCTGCGTACCCGCTGGTTACCTGCAGCGTTGGTAACTTTGGCTGCATTTAGAGTGAAAGCCTGAGGGGCGCTGTGTGAGCTGAGCGGGGCTCTCGCCGTGTGTCATCTCTCACACCCTGACTTTTCCCTTAAATCCTGAGTAAAAGCCTGAGGGGCGCCGTGTGGGGCTCTCTCCGCCCATCACCTCTCGCACCCTGACTTTTCCCTTAAATCCTCTCAGGCTTTTCCAGGGCAAAACGCTGCCAGAGGCCGGGCGGCCTAAGGGTTGGAATGAGCTGCTCTGCTGAGTGCGGTGTTAACAACGAGGAAGCACTTTAAGGGAGAGATTAATAATGCAAAACATCAGATGTGTAATGTTTCACGCTTATTAAACAGATGGATTTTAAAAGATGATCCCTCGTTCCACGTCTGGTCAGTTCTGACACACCCTGTTGTGGGGCAGAATTCAGGGCTGTAACGCTCAGAGGGTTAAAAAGGGCTGAATTAAACTTACAACTCTCCAAGAGTTAAATTTGACAGCAACGCTGCCAGAGGCCGGGCGGCCTAAGGGTGGGAATGAGCTGCTCTGCTGAGTGCGGTATTAACAACGAGGAAGCACTTTAATCCAAGAGTTAAATTTGACAGCAGCACGATTGAATGATGAACTTTTACAGAAGACATAATGAGAGAGTTGAAGGAGCCGTTGAAATTCAAACACAGCTCTGTTGCAAGAACTCAGACTTGTTTCTGCTGTGATATTTGTGAATTTAATGCTCTCCAGCAGCTCAGTGGCCACACAACCAGCGTAGGTGGCCCTGCTCCAGGCTGTGTAGCCTGGACTGTTCCTGCCAGGCGGGTCGGGTGCCAGGTGGTTAAAAAGGGCTGAATGAAACCTCCAACTCTCCAAGAGTTAAATTTGACAGAAGCACGATTGAATGATGAACTTTTACAGAAGACATAATGAGAGGTTGAAGGAGCCGTTGAAATTCGAACACAGCTCTGTCACAAGAACTCAGACTTGTTTCTGCTGCAATATTTGTTTATTTAATGTTCTCCAGCAGCTCAGTGGCCACACGACCAGCGTAGGTGGCCCTGCTGAGCTGTGTAACCTGGACTGTTCCTGCCAGGCTTACTGATCAAAAGAGGGTTAAAATTCATATCCCGAGTGCCTGCTTCTTTAGAAACGTTCTTTGGACCTTGTGTGGCAAACGCATGCGATAGGGCTTCCAGTGAATGCCTATATGTTTAGCAACTCTGCTTGGAGTAGAGCAAAAGCCCCTGGATGTTCAGTAAACTCGTTAGTGAAACCACGCAGCTAGTTCTGCTGAAGATGTGATTAAAACGAGGGTTTTTTTTCATTTTCCTCTGCAAAAAATAGGTGGTCATTAGCTTCAGTTTGACTCATAAATTCTATGTAAGTACTTGGCTCAGTACTGAAGGGAAAGAAATCTTCAACGGAGCTGTAGATTGCAGTGACAGGAGCAGTCAGTGCAGTCACTGCAGGGTATTATGTAGCCTTTATCTGATGAAGAAGCTTGTTTTCATGATCTAACTACTTCTTACTCCACGGCTGAATGCGTTAAAATAGTGATATCAATTTGACATTCCCTTAAGGAAAGTATTGGAAAAAGGGACTCTGAGAAAAGCCCAATTCCATCTGTTAAAACAGAGGTTAATGGAAACAAGGGGGTGGAAATTCTGCCCCCTTCCAGACACCACCAGCAACAAATACTGTCAGCAGCACCTGATTTGGGGAGATTTGCAGCATAATTTGCCAGCACGCCTTTTGTAATTGAAACTATCAGTTTTGTTTTTCCTCCTACTTAACTGGTTTTGCAATAAAACCATAGTTGCATAACATTTGTATTTGTTAACTACTGACATTTATCAGAGGTTGGCCAAGTTGAGTGCGTTATTGGCAGACCTTTGGGGAGCAGCACACAGATGCATCGTGTCAGCAACAAAATGTCAGGTGAAATTCAGAATTATATTGTTTTTTTGTATTAGAAGATGTGGATTTTACTCCAGAGCAGCTGCCAAAAAGGAACTCTAAAATCAGCGTTTAATATTAAAAATAGTAGCCTTGCTTTTTGTTGCTGTACATAATGCATTAAGGGACTTTTCCATAGTGAAATTGGGCTTTTCTCTGGATACTTTTCCTAACAGGGGATATTTTTCCTGATTAATTGCCAAGTCGGTATCAAAGCAACGGATTAGAGCACATAACTGAGCACGGGACAGCAAAAGTTGAAGTCAAGCAGTCTGTAAAGTGTGAAATCTGTTAGATCCTGTAATTTATAGCCCAGTTTTCTTTCTTCCTGCTGCCCCTTCCCAGCCAGAAGCCCCCAGACAACCAGCCAACACTTCCAAGGTCTCATGGAGTAGAATCATGACAAGGTGGCCCTTGTTGGGAGGTGGCAGTGGAAGGGCAGCTTTGGTGTCTCCTCGGCTGGCACCGTGCAGCTCTCAAGGGACGTGTGTGAGCTTGTTGGGGACACTGATGGGATCAAATGAAATATATGGCCCAGCAGTGATGGAGCTGAGGATGGCACAGGGCATGTCACAGGGAGGAGTAAGGCTGTTTCTGTCACAAGGCGGGTAAGGTGGGTGGGCAGGGGGACCTGCAGGCATGAAAACTCACAGGGACTCACACCTATAGGGACAAACCTAATTAGCCCTGATTCAATTGTCAGATCAGTGCTGATTTAATGCCTCCCCCCCCAGGGCTGCTCTCGCCAGGACACTGTAAGTTTGTTTGCAGTAGAAATTGTGCTTTTTTTGAAAGCATGAAAAAGGATGATGCTGAGGATAAGGCTTAAATATCAGATCTTAACCCTCTGTTGAAATGAGCCGTTACAGCATCCACAGATACAAACAGTATTTAGTTTACACTCCTTGCTGCTTAAATATCAGATCTTAACCCTCTGTTGAAGTGAGCCATTACAGCATCCACAGATACACCAAACAGTATTTAGTTTACACTCCTTGCCACGTTTTCAGTTTGCACAGAAGTTAGAAGCTGTATTCTTTCCTTAAAAGAAGGAGACTTTAAAATGAAAACTGAACTTGAATTACAAGTTTAGCTTCAGCTCTTCAGACACGCTGCACTTGCGCTCCCTTCTGGGGCTGGTAAGATCTTTTGTCTCAAGCCTTGCCTTCTGCAAGCCTCAAAAGCTGTGGTCTAGAGGGGTTTTGATCTCTTAAAAGAAGGAATTTTTACTCACAAACCAGGCAGACGACTCATTCTTGTAGCCTGCATGACTATATAAAGTGTTCAAATGGAAAAAAATTGTTACTTCATGACTCCTCTGTGATTCATGGTTTCCTCCCAGCTTTGTCTCAAGCCTTGCCTTCTGCAAGCCTCAAAAGCTGTGGTCTAGAGGGCTTTTGATCTCTTAAAAGAAGGAATTTTTACTCACAAACCAGGCAGACGACTCATTCTTGTAGCCTGCATGACTATATAAAGTGTTCAAATGGAAAAAAATTGTTACTTCATGACTCCTCTGTGATTCATGGTTTTCTCCCAGCCGTTGCTCTGGTCCAGTCTGATTTTCTTACACACGTAGCTCTGGAGCTGTAGAGGGGAACAGCAGCAAGTTCCCTGGTGCTTCCTTCATAATTCAGAGGCTTCAAGGTTTGTGGGGTAAAAATATTTGGCTGATATAAAACAGGTGGGAAAATAGAGTTGCAGGAGAAAGTTAAGTAAAGGGCTCACTGAGCAAGAAGCTTCTTAATTCTGTAGGAATTCCTCCCCCCTCCGTGTTTCTGGCCAGTTTGGGGACAGAGGGTGATCACAGAAATGAGATTTTCTGTCTTGGCAGGACGATGTCTGGTGGTGCCTCCATAAATCCTGTTGGGTATCTGCCAGCCTAGACACGTTTTAGAGCTTGTGTGCTTGGGAAAGTAGCATTTGGTAATCTCAAGATTAATTGCTCATTAAAGGAAGTTAGTATTTCTAAGAATCAAACTTACTGAAAGTACAATTTGTCTGTAAAGACTGGAGACAAGGCACTAACTTGCTTGCCTTACTCTAATTAAAAAAAAACCCCACAAACAAAAACCAGAATTGAAACAGTTAAAGTCATCTTGAGTTGACTCTTATCCCAGGGCTGGCAGAGCCCCTTTCCAGGAATGGGGTGGGGAGGAAACCCACTGCTTTCCCCCTTTTTGTCCTTTTTTTCACACCCGACTCCAGCTCTTCTCAGAAGCTGATGTAATTAGTGACTCCCCCTCCTGAGCAGAGGAGTTGGAGGCAGGAGCGGTTTTTGAAAGAGCGACTCAGAGCCCAGAGCATCAGCCGGAGCCCAGCCGGGGTGGGGAGCTCCTGGGGAGGCTGCTCTGACCCCCCCCCGCTGCCACTGGAGCTCTTCTCCCGCACAAGGACCCGCAGATCCTTCCTGGGGGGAGCAGAGGGGCTGCCTGGGACCCCCGGAGGGTGACTGACCCATTCTGGAGATACTCCTTAGAGCAGAGAAGTTCAAGGTCGGTAAGTGTGTCCGCAGCAAGAACAAAGTGCAGCTCTGCTTGTAAAACCTCAAGGATCCAGGGGGCAGTTTGTGTTCCAACGTGCTTGGCATTATCAAGCAGAAACCTTAGTTAAAATTTAAGGTGCTGGTAACGTGGAAGTTGTTTGAGCTGTTATAAGTCACTTATTTTTGAGTTATTACCTGGATCTGGTCACGGCAGTTTGTGTTCCAACGTGCTTGGCATTATCAAGCAGAAACCTTAGTTAAAATTTAAGGTGCTGATAACATGGAAGTTGTTTGAGCTGTTATAAATCACTTATTTTTGAGTTACTACCTAGATCTGGTCAGTAGCAGTGTTACTTTCCAAACTTGAACATTTGATAATGCTCCAATCAAGGTTTCCTAAATATTCACAGATGTGTTTGATCTTATTCCTGATTTTATTCCTGATAATGCCTTATTATATTTCTCTGAAGTACTTTAAGAACTATCAGAAGCCTCTAAGAAAGTCATTGTAGGTCTCTTGTAATAGTTGGGGCTGAGGAGGGATGGGGGGTCAGTATGGAATTGGTGCTAAAGCTGAGATTTGTGTCATTGCTGAGGTTTCTGCACCGTCTGCTACAGAGTTGTTCAGCCTGTTTTGTCTGTGTCTAAAATGTTTGGTTACATTCCTCAGGTTATTTTGCTGGTATTTACTTTTTAATGTAGCTAATTGTACCGGCTGGCATTCTTTATGGCTGAGGTAGTAACAACATTCATTTGTTATATCTGGAAAACTGGAAAAAAGATGCTGCTTTGAAAGTTTTTGGCACCACATTTTCAAATCTAATGTAAACTACTGCATGGGTTAAAAGTTGACACTTCTTCCAGATTCCAGAGGTTCCAGTAAAAACTTTCCCGAAGTTTCATCTCTGTGGGCAGGTTCAGGAGCCAGTCTTTTTAGTTCATCTCATACTCCAGCCTGAATTTACCAGGGTGGCAGTTGCCAGGCTTGTTTCGGTGTTGCCTGCAGAAGCATGACCAGATTCACATTGAAATTGAGATTTTATTGTAACTGGGTCCAGGGACAGACAGTTTTACAGGTCTGTTACTCTGAGATTTAGTGCTGCGACTACAAGGTCAAGACTAAAGTTCCTTCTCCAGCGGGTTCAAAGTTACTACTTTTTTTTTCTTCAGTGGCTAGGTCGATTTACACCCTTGTTTCTCTTCAAATCTAAAGAGGTTTTCAAACCTGTTGTGGGGGGTAAATTAAACTGGATTGTGCTGGGGACATGAGTCATTACAGATCATTCTGCATGTGAAACTGGGCTCTTTGGGTGGATCCTGAAACCGAAAGGGCTTGACAAATTCAAATAGCTGCAGGACTTCCCCTTTTGTTCCTTTCCAGGAAGGATCATTTCATCTGCTCACCCAGTAATGCTCTAAAAAACCTGGTAATTTATAGCCTGCGTCTAGTTATTTGGGATGAAGGCTGCAGCAGCTTTAGCAGGTTTTCAGAACGGGTGGGGAAGGTGTTAATTATTGCCATCAGCGCTAATTACTCCTCCTTTTGGACAGTATGGGGGGGATTTGCTGCCTTGAGGAGATTTCCATTGTGGTTGATTGTGACTCAGCTTCTGTTCCCCCCCCCTCCTGCACCTCTGACTCAAGGATTTCACCATGAATTTGCCGGTGGCCTGATGGAGACTGGCAGGTCCCCAAGTCCCTCACCACGCTGTGCCACTCCTGGAGGGTCACAGCACATGTCCCAGTTGTTCCCACATGGCTGTTGGTCAGGCACTGGGCAGGACAGAGCAGGTGAGGGACACAGTGACATTTAGCATTCTACAGCAGTGGTTGAAGCTACACCTGCAGGGCTAATTTTAAACACTGGTTTCCTGAAGCTTCTAAGAAGTGGAAGTGGTTAATCTCAAGACCTGGTCTCTCTCTCTCTCTCTCTCCTTAATTGTTACGTGGCTTCTCTCCTTTACAGGTTTGTGCTATAAACAGCTAATCACTGCCACAATGACATCTTCAAGCTCTGCCCAGCATCCAGCAGCTGAGAATGCCTGCAGGATCACACTTGGACAAGTCAACCAGGTAATTATCTCTCCCACTTATCTTCACAGCTTTCTCCTCACTGAAGCAGTGATTATTTTTTTTTCTATCAAATCAAAGCTCTCCCAAGTACATTTAAGTAATAAGAATTTAGCCTGATGGAATAGGGCTTTTATCTTAGGGAAGCTGTGTTAGCTTTCAGTATCAGATCAGTGATTTATGAACCTTTTAAAGGGGGAGGAAAGGAAAAAGCAGTTAGAACCAGCCATACGAGAAACTTTATAATGCATATTTTTGAGCTGGACCTAGATTTGAAGAATTCCTCCTAGTGCTGGACTCTTGAGACAGTTGTTTTGGAGCTTTGTGACCTTCTATGCTGAGCTTTTGGTCAGTAGTGCATCCCCATGCTTATTTTGGGGTCAACTTAATAAAGAATTGAATACCTAGTACTCCCATTATCAGCTATTCCTGGAGTGTCCCTGGAACAAAAGGTACTTGGAGCTGTGAGCCAAGGCCAACGTGGCAGGTTTGGGTATGGCTCAATGCCACGCTGACAGCCAGGCAGGGGAGAGAAGTTTGCAAACAATAACAGTAAAAATCTGGTCTAAAAATCAGAAAGGTTTCTCCGAGACAGGCATCCAACCTTCCAGAGCTAATTCACTGCTAAAAGCATCTCTGCCACATGAGGGGATGTGGCAGGAGGGAAAATAAGCTGATGGGAAGTGGAGAGAGCCTCCCATTTGAGGCTTAATTTAGAACCCATTTGAGGCTTAATTTAGAAGCTTTGAAACTTAGCCAAGTCCTGTGAGGAACTGATGTATTTGCTTATTTATTCAATTCACTCTGCATGAAAAAAAGTAAGTAAATAGGCTCTGATATTAGTAGCAAAATATTGATTGTCAACACTCTGTGTCCCAGGCAGCGTGGAATAAACACTTGCATTTTGGCTGCACTGGAGTAGCTAAAGGCCCATTTTAAAATGATCAAGCTAACTAGGTTGCTTCTTTAATTAGAAAGAAATGTATAAGAAGTTACTTATATCTATTAGAGAGTGGTCATTAGAGAAATGAATGGATGCAAACACATAATTTCATCTTATTAAAAATCATGTGCTGATAGAAGCACTTATTGGAGTTGTGCTGAGCTTTTTTTCCTAGTGAAAAAGCTGTTCTTGAGCAGAGACTTGGGGCTGGACACGAGCTGTTCCCTTTGAGCTTGAAAATGCATTTAACAAACACAACAACGAGAAAACAGACAGCCCAGACGAGATATATATATATTTTTTTTCCTAGTATTAGAGAACAGGTGGAACAAATACCCTGCCAAGATGCTGTCTGATAGCTGAGTGACAAATCACAGTCGTGACAAGCAACCAAAACCAGCTCTTACCTTGTGTGGGAAAATGATGCTGTAGCTCAGGCTGTCTCTCGAGATGCCTCAGGGCTGCAAACAGGCTCTGCTCTTTGGGAAGGGAAGTGGAGATTTAATTGCATTTATATAGGGGGAAAAGGGAAGGGTGGGTGTGTGAGACACAGCTGAACCCACCCAACATTGATAGGTAATGGCCTTTACTACCCAGCATGGATTACATTACAAGCCTGGAGAGAGCATAAACCTTCTCAAAGGGGAAACAGCAATGAATATTGTACACTGAGGACTGATCTTTCTGTGCTGGGACAGATTGAAATATCTTGTTGTAGTAGCATCTGATAGACAAGGAGAACAGAGGAAGGGATTCAGAGTGGGAGGCGTGCGTTAGTTACAATATTGTGTAGTGCTCAGAGAACAGTGAGGGCTTTCTGACGTTTTTAGGGAACAGAAGGCATCAGATCGTGTGGTGGCACTCTCCTAGGAACTGCTAAAAATCTTTTGGAATAGATGAAGTAGCAACGTAGGGGGGAAGCAGCTATTTAAAACTTGCTGCTGTTTTATATAGCATCATCTGTCTCATCTGCTACTCGGAGCTGCTTGGGCGTGTGGGTGAAACCTAAAGGGGTTGTGGAGCAGTTGCATCGTTCCCAGGCTGCTTTGTATTTTATATAATAGAGATTTTGGTTGATGAGTGAGATCCACAGAAAATACAGCTTCTGATCCTTGGTGTTAATTAACCACACCTTGTGATTAATGCGGTCTTATTATTATGTGTCTGTTCATGGATCCTAATAATTACGTGCTCCCAAAGGTCTGTGCAGAGCAGACCCCGTTTGTTCACTGGACTAATTGAGGAAATTCAGGCTCTGGAAGTGGTGATCTGAGTGCACCCTTGTTGCTCCTAAATACCTGACTCAGTAGATTTGGTTGGTCACTGCCTGGGACTCCATACCAAGGCTCTGAGTTTCCAAACTCTGCCCTCCCAGGACGAATGCCATCAAAATTAATGGGACAACGGGAGCGATTAGAGCCTTTAGAGCTGGCTGCCCAAATTCCTTGGCTTTTTTTGTGTCTCGCTCTTGAGTCAGAATGATTGTGCTGATTTCCAGTCCTTCTAACTTCTTTTTAAGCATTAAGTTGGTGCAGATTACTTGTGAAAAAGAATAGCAGCCTTCAGCAGGTTGGCCTGAGGCCGGTGGTGTTTCCCCAGGACCTCCAGCTCATAGCAGGGGTGTCAGCTCTGTGCCTGGCCAGAGTCTCACACAGGTTGATGTGGGTAACATGGATTTGTTGGGTTTGTTAGGTTTGTTAGCTGCAATGCCTAGGTGTGGGTACCAGGGTGACTTTCTCTCTCAGCAGGTCGCTGCTCCCAGTCATTCAAACAAAACTCTGCCCTTTGTGTTTTAGGTGAGACCCAAACTGCCGCTTCTGAAGATTCTGCAGGCTGCAGGCGCCCAAGGGGAGACCTTCACCCTGAAGGAGGTGGGCTCTTTGTGATTTTTGAAACCAGACCTGTCCCTGCTTGGTTGGGGGGTGGCTCTTTGTGGGGTAGGGATGGGACCAGCTATGAATTTTTCTATACTTTGAAGTCTTCTCTCTACTTTTTCTCTACTGCAAAAAAAAAAGGGATACCTTCCCCATAGGGCTGTTGTGATTTGATCATAAATGTCTTAAAAGCCCCCAGAGGAATTGGAATAGGGGTGGGAAATATTAAAGAAAATTATATATTCTGGAAAATCAGGAACCTCTTTGGAGAAAGGAGAGATGGGATATTCCTGGGAGAGTGTAGGAGATTCTATTCAATTGTCTTGCCCTCTGCTCAGTGCACGAAAGCCTTAAAAAATGGGTTCCAATTGGTATTTTTCTTTTAAGTTTCCTTTGAAATGGCTTGTCAGCTAAACCTGAGACCCCGTGAATTCATTTATTTTAAGATTAAAATGCAGTATGTGTACAAGATTAAAAAAATGACAGTGACTGTGATTTACAAGAGTATCGTGTCTGCAAAGAATTAAATGCAGTGGTTTTTCATTATGAATGTGTCAAATATTCCTGCAGAGCCCTGTGACTTATTTTAAACACTTATGCATTTAAATAACTTATTTAGCTTCTAAAACTTTTTGCAAAAACAAATTGAATGGTTTAAATGGGGAGAGTTGAGTATTAAATGCAGGTTACTTGTATAGATTAGCTTTTTAACTCCGTCAAAGTCAGTCTTTTCTGCAGCGAACGAGGTACCGATAGCAACTTTTGGGTGATACTGTCATTCAGGAGGGTCACTTTGGTGGGTTATGGGGGGGTTGAACCTGTGTATGTTGTGCTTAATGCACTTTGCTTTATTCTGTTGTACTTTGCATTCCTCACTGGAGCTGGCAGTGTCCCCTCACTCCCAGAGGGTGTTTCCTCTCTGTCCTTCTGATCCTAATCCTTCATCCTTGTGATATTAATGCATTTATTTTTGCATCTTGCAAACTGTGTCCCGAGGAACCGTGCTATAATGTGGTCACCCTTTAGTAATAGCTTGTGCTTTTAACCAGGGATGCTTTCTGCCTCCTCCCCATTCCCTTCTCTTTGCTCTGAGTTGAGCACCAATAGTCTCCATCTGCAGCTTCACCCAGGGAGGCTGCTGAGATAGGTCTTCTCACCCACGTTGTGTTTCATTTTCGTGTGGGGTAGCAGAGCGACTGCTGTTTGTCCATCTTTGACTCAGTTTTCCTTCTTGTCAGGGGTTAATAGTTCCAAACCTTCTAGCATTATGGTAAAGCATAATTGCCTTAGTTGGGAGGCATCAAGGAATTGCAGATGGGCATGAAAAGCAGGTACTGTTTGACTCGTGCTGTACAGGGTAGCAGGAGTATCCTAAAGTAAAGCAAATTTCCAGGGTCTTTGGGGGATTGGTTTCAGCTGCAGATAAGGCTAATGCTGTGTTATGTACCCACAGGTCATGCATTACCTAGGACAGTATATCATGGTGAGGCAGCTATATGACAAAAGACAGCAACACATGGTCTACTGTGGAGGAGATCAGCTGGGAGAACTTCTGGGACTGGAGAGCTTCTCTGTAAAAGATCCAAGGTAGGAAAAAGTCACCTTTAATGTACGTTGTATTATAGAAGTTGCCAAGACAGAGGACTCTTGGTGTCACTGTTTCTGTTCACTGGCACGTAAACCTCTAGGCACACCGAGGGCCCTGCTCAGTGGGTTATTGGTAATGCATTTGACAAGTTGGATTTGAGGCTCCTTTGTTCTGAAGAGCCAGTTCTGAATGGTCCAGGCAGTGAGCTGCTTGAGGTGACAGCTTTTCCCCCTTTTATTTCTGCATCTTCTCAAGCCTTTGATCTCAGACTTAAGCTAAAATCTGCACCCATCAGTTAAGTTCTGAGCTGGACTGTAGCAAACGTTTAGGGCTGGCAATCTGCAGTTGTCCTGCAGTTTTCAGTGTCTCTGGATAATAAAGGAGAATTTCCATCCCTGGTTTCAGAGGGTAATGCTGTTTGGGTTTGTGAGTATATTTAACTGTCACCTTCTTTCCCACAGCCCAGTCTATGACATGTTGAAACGGAACCTGACTTCTGCTGCCATGGCAGGTAGGTTTGTCACAGTGTGGGCAAGTATATTCAATGTAGTGTTGATATAACTTGGGTAAGTAATGATATTCAGAAGAGAGAAATGTTGCTGAAGTTTGAACAAACTGCTAATGAAGGATCTGACAAGAGGATCTCTTGGAGTATGTGTCTTTTCTGTGTGTCCACCATCAGTAGCTGTGATAGGAAATCAGTTGGTTGAGTAACGTGGCTGCCTGTAACCCAAGGGCCAGACTTCGGAGCAGCAGGCACGCTCTGGAAGCTGACAGAGCTAAAATCAACGTGGCTGAAGTATCCCATCCAAATCAGGAGTGATTTCTCAGTCTTTTCTCAGTTTCATGGCGTGCTGTGACTTCTTCCTCTCACCTCATTTTATACTTTCATACTCTTGAGACCAAATATGAGAGTGCTGGAAACCCAGCCTAGTTCTGCAGGCCAAAGAGCTCTGGGCTTTAATTGGACACTTGACCCTTTCAAGGCCACTGTTAATTTCCCAGCTCATAAGAGAAACCAAATCAATCTACATCAAAAGTCTTTCAGTCATAAATTAAAATTTATTCTTAAATTAATCTCAGCTGATGGCTTCCTTGCAGCCAGTCCCCATTTTATGGCTGGTAATCTTAGTTTGAAAGAAACCCCTTCTGATGAAAGTACAAGTGTGCAAATCCTGAGGGAGCTGCACCAGGAGGGTTGTGGAGTCTTGTGCCATACTTCCTGGGGTCTCTAAGCAGTTAATATGGACTTAGTTCTTAGTCTATTTCTGCACACGTACATAAAAGCTTGTGCAAATTTAGAAACTGAGAAAACATGGCCCGAAACTGCTCAGTCCTCTGCTTTGAGCCATGTCTTGGTGCCTCTGAGCTCCCCCTCCTTTCTCTGTTGATAGAGAAGACTCTTCCTAAGTGGACTGTCTCCTAAACACGTCACCTACAGCATAACTGTGTGAGTGTGATTTCCCTGCCTGGTGATGCCCTGGCCCCTTCCCTGGCAGCACTGTGTGTGGAGAGCACAGGATCCCAGCCAAACACTCTCTCCTCTGCTGTCCTGTCCCCTCCTGCTTTGTGTGTGTGTCACTGTGTGTGTGTGTCACCGTGTGTGTGGCTGTGTCTGCCTGTATGGTCCAGTCATGGTGTAACTATTTTTAAACCTGCCGAAGGAAATACTGTTCCTTTAGGGGGGTGATCACTGAGTTATACCACCGTGTCTGTGTGTGTGTGTGTGACTATAAAACGGAACAAGCTTGGCAGACCAGACCTTTGACGAATACGTAGGAAGGATGATTAGGTCTTGTTTTCCCTTCATCGCAACACAGGGATAACTAGAAGTGCTGTAGGGCTTAAAGAGGTCTTCAGGTATCATGTTTTGTCATAGTTGCTTGTATTCATTACCCAAATCAGTGCTTATCAGCACATCATTCTGCAGATTATCTGGGCCACTTCTTTTAAGTACGCTTAGAGAAAGAAAAGGGACTGCAGTACATCTTGATAATAAAGACGCAGCTCTTGCATAAGGCTCTTTATCAGATGGTGTCCTCACTTGGCTGGCTTTCACTGGGTGTGACTGAGGTGGGGTGTATTTGGGAATACCTCACTTTAGAGGACATTTTGTGTAGTTGGCTTCGAAAAAGGAGGCCTTCCAGTAAGTGGAGTGTCTTTTCCACACAGTGTTTAAGGCAAGTTTGTGGTATTTGTGAAGTGTTAGGAGGGTAGGTCTTCACCTCTTCTAATGCCCCCACAGAACCAAAGCAATTATGGATGAGCCAGCTGGCTTCTGGTTTCCTTCAGGTATTAAATAATCAGTGACTGCAGAAAATTTCAACAGGGTTTTTGAACCCTGGACCTGCAGGGTGATGGAGGGGGGAAGAAAGGAAAGCTGAGCTAACGCGTGGAGGGCAGAGAATATGGGATAGAGTCATGTCATTTTGTGGTCCCATGTTTTTGCTCATTTTATGGACCGCTTTTTGGTCCAGTCTTCTGCCTGTAGCAGCAATTCTCAGTGTCTTCGTATCCGTGCCAGGATTCATGGTGTGAATTGGGCTGTTTGTGTCTGCCTGGCATTCCACAGGGAATTTCCCTGCTAAATTGAATGGGGAGGGAGCAGGAGCCACCTTTGCATCCTTTGTTCTCTAGCAAGTCATTCTCTTTAAAGGGTAGACGTCCTACCTACAGCTCTCCTATTATGTAGAAAGATTTCTGTTAATTTGATTGTTCTTGCTATTTAGGTTGGCCTTTTAATTAACTCTTGGGGCCAGCATAATCATCTGGATTAAATTGTGCTATGGATGTGTGCACAGTTACCCAGGAAGAGCTTGCTGGGCATGGAATTTTCCCTTCTTTAGTCATGGGTCCTTGTGCCCACACCCTTTAAGAAAGACAATTTTCCTGGTTCAGCATAAGCTGAAAGAGATGGTGTCCTCAGGTATTTATAAAAATCTTACTCTTCTGTGTTCACCTCCTTCAGCATGGATCTGATCCAGCCTTCGAGTGGGAGTCCCCCCCTCTGCTCTTGCTCTAGGGTTCTGCCTCCGTGCAAACCTCTTGTGTAAAGCACCTAGAACTTGTGATGGGCAGACAGCCTCCAGGAAAAAGAATAGTTACTCATAGTTGAAGAAGGTTCTTACATGCTGTGAGGTTTCATTTCATCAAGCTTCATCTCTGAGGGGGCACAGACTCTCTGTTCCACAGGGTGATGCCCCACACGTACCTAGCAAAGCCCAGGGGATTCTGGAGAGATGCCTCTTGAGGAAATGGCCAGCTCTCTAAGGAAGAAAGGGTTCTTTTTCTTGTAAAGGGTTATGTAGAGGTCTGCCAAGCCTGGCTCGTTGGTTGCTTGCTGAAGACCCTCTGTGTTGTGAGAATGGTTATTACCAGGGAAGGTTTTTTCTTTTGTTTTACCTGCCATCTAGATGCTGCACAGAATCTCCCAAAGGAACAGAGCGTCGATAAGCCAAGCCAAGACCAGCTGAAGGTAAACCCACTGCCTGGTGGTTTCTTTTGTTGTACAGAGTGCCCCTTCTCTGTACCTGTGCATGGTGGACTGCCAGAACTTTGTGCTGCTTGGCTGCCAGGTCCTCACCTTCCTGAAAAGTTCTTGGAGTCCACAGAGCAGGGACAGAGTGACCCTTCTCTGTTCTCTTCATAACAGAGTACCAGTCTCTGAGCGCGTTTCTCTGGGGTGTAGCACTTCTAGTCCTCAGTTCCTCCAGCGTGCTCTGTATCTTCATGCCTTTCTCCCCTTTCTCCCATTCCCTCTCCAAGTAGGAATTGCCAAATAATTAAGCTTTCTAAAATGTGTGACCGAGTTTTGTGTTTAGTAGGTTTGTTGTCAGAAGCTTTCAGGCAGAATCTGAAACCTAGGAAAAATCTTTTGCGCATTCAAACTTGTTTCCAGGTATATTTTGGGATTAAGGTGGTCGAAACTGGGAGGTGTCTCTTCACATTGGGGGCCACAGAGTGCCAAAGATGACAGAATTATTGCATTAAAGATGGCAACTTTTGGACTTTTGCCAATCTTAAGATTTTTCCTAGGTTGCTAGGATATTGTTTGTGCTGATTCCAGATGCATTAGCCTTCTTAAAGGGTTACTAGTGTGTAGTTTTTGGTCAGAGGCTTTTATTTCTCTTCGTAACTTCTTGGTCTCTTGCACTGCAGCTGGTGACTCGGAATGGAAGTGCTACATCCCCTTGTCCCTATAAGCTCTGATGGACTAACATGGGTTTTTTCCTTCCTTCATGCAGTTTAACGGGCAAGAAGGTTCTGACCCTGGCGTCATGGAGGGCGAAAGCACTGCTTCTGCTTTGTCTACCTCAGAGCCAAAATGTGAGAATTCCGAAGGTGAGTGCCAGCTTTTCTGCAGTAACACATTGTGTGCAAGTTTTGCTCCTTCTCCAGTGTGACACGTTGAGCTCTGCATCAGCAAAATGCAGGAGGAGGGTTGAGAGACTAACAAAAAACCTGTTGTGGAATATAGTCTTTAAAAATCATCTTCTTATGTTAAAGATTGAGAGAACTGCAAATGTTCGCCCAAGGTATTTCATGACAGATGTATTTTTGAGCTTGGATGTTTGGTCTCATAAATAAACAAACTAAAATGGCAGGTTAAGCCCCAAAAGAACATCGATCACTAAACAATGTCATGAAAAATCTTACAGACCTTGCTGAAGGGTGTTTTAAATGCTGAAATTATACTTGTGTCTATTTGTCTTCCCAAAGGACTCTCTCCTCTGATTACAGAGAACACAGCCTGAGCTGGCTGCAGTCATTACCTGCAAACCAATCAGGGAACTGAATAACAATGGCATTTTTTTTTCTATCCAACTTAAGTGTAATACAGCTCCTTCACATGTAGACATTTCCTTTGTTTAAATGTCTGGGGATTTCTTGCTGGTTCACTCATGGATTTGTGATGTTACGGAAACAATTTTCCTGGTTTTCTACTTTCTATTCTCGTGTCGTCCTCGTATCAAGGAACCTAATTTGTAAAACCAGATCTTCTTTGTAAGTGTGGGTATTTCCAGATCAAATGAGAGCAGGAGACATTTTCCTGGCTGCTCGTACAAAGGAGGTAGAAACAGTCCTTGTCCTTTGAAACGCTTGGCACTGAAGAGAGAGAGATTCAAGGTTATCTTGAAATTCCGAACGCTGAGTTTAGGATCACAGACTAAATTGCAGAGGCTGCAAAGGAGGCTGAAGCATGGGGTTATGGAGGATGGATTCTTACCTTCCTGCTTCCCATTTGGAGCCTGGTTTTGGAATTCAGGAGCTCCCATCACTGAAATTTGAACCAAATTTAAAGTAGTTTCTTTCTGCATCTTAAGTCACTCAAGAAAAGTACTCGGTGCTGGCTTGGGCAGAGCTCTGAAAGAAGCATTTGTGTTTCTATATCTTAAAAGCAAGGTAATGGTAAAGAACCTGTAGAGATACTGGTAACACTGGGATGCTTCTCTGAGCTCTGCTGGCTGCACAGAGACTATTCTGCCGAATTCTCTTGGGTAGATACACAAGTACAGCTGTGTGGCAGATGTGACTAACATCCCTGTACACTCATACAAACCTCAAAGCTCTTTGCAGGAACTGGCTGTAAGAAGGAGCAAAAAAGATTTCTAAAATCGGATGGGGCCGAATTTTTCTCTGCTGGTCTCTGAAGTAATGTAGGTGTGGCATGACTTAGATTCTACTTGGCTCTTACAGACAAAGACTTAATAGAAAACCTCTCTAAAAGCAAGAAGCCTAAACTGGACCTAGTGTTTGAGGAATGGGATGTAGCTGGTCTTCCATGGTGGTTTTTAGGCAACCTCAGAAGCAATTACGAGTCCAGAAGTAATGGATCAACAGATATTCAGACTAACCAGGTGTGTAGACATTTTAAATAGGTGCACTGTATTCTCTCCCTCTCCTCTTTTGGGTTCCAAATAAATAAAATATTCTTCTTCTTTCTTTCCCCTTCCCACTCCAGGACTTTCAGCCTCTCCCTTGTGTGTTCCTGTCCCAGCCTTTCACATCAGGTGGTTGGTTACCTTTAGTGTTCTTAAATAAACTAGGGGCTCTCTGAAGGCTGCCTTCAGCCGTTGGAGGAAAGTCTCTGCTCCAGAGTGTTGATTCTATTTCAAGAGATGCCCCTTTTTCTGGGTTGAAAGTTGTTAACACGATGCACGTGGCTGTAGCCTGATGGCCAGCAAGGGGACAAGCAGGGCTCTGCTTGCAAAAAGGGGTGTCTGAGAGCAGTGAGCTGCCCCGTCCTCTCCCAGGGGTGACTGGAGAAGGCTGTTAGCCAGGAAAAAAAAGGGGAGAGGAGTTGGCTGTGGCCATGGCTGCAGTGCTGGTAACTCCAGATAAATAACCTGAGCTCTGAGGGGTCTCTTCTTCTCCAACAGGACATAGACACTGCCGTTGTCTCAGATACTACTGATGACTTGTGGTTCCTCAACGAGTGCCCGTCGGAGCAGAGCAGCGCCACAGCCAAGGGGGAAACGGGTGACTGCGAGGAGGTGAAAGAAGGTGACAAAAAGGTACTGCTTCAACCAGCCACAGTGCGTGTGTTCTACAGGTTGGCCTTAATTGATCTCATGGAAGTGCAAAATCCTTTGCTTTTCGTCTGCTTTTTAGTGCTGGGCTGTCTTGGGAGGAGCCTGATCTCCCAAACCAGAGTTGAAACTGTATTTTAAAAAAAAAGGCTGTCACCATTCCATACACAGGGTGATAGTTTTCCAGTCAATCTGCCTGGGTCTTCATTTAAATGCTTGTATTTTCAAGGCACAAAATTAATTTAAAATTAATTAAAACTCAAGCAGCAACTTTACTGTATTTCTGGCCAATATTTCTGCAAGACTGATAGATGAAAAGACTCAAAAGAGGAAAATCTGAGTTTACGCTGCATTAGCATTCAGCATTAGCTAGGCTGGCCTGAGTCTGCTGCCTGGTGAGATTGGTCACAAGAGTGATTAATCAAGTGTGTGTTAAAAGGACTGATTAATGATTTTTTTTCCACGGAAATCAGTGAGACCACTCAGATGTGTTTGTATGATTCTTGATGACCAAAGGAATATTGCCCAGGGGTAGTTGTTGACAACTAGAATAGATACTGTACATAAAATGGCTTTTCATTCACTTATAGAAATGGCTTAATTATCACAGCAATTATATAGTCATTTTAGTTTTAGTGTACGGTGACAGGCATATCATAAATAGAGATTATTGTGCCCCTCTAACAATGTTTTCATCCTTTCCAGGTGACTGAGGATGTGTGTTTGCATGACTTGGAGGATTCTCAGTGCTTAAGTGATGACACAGATACAGAAGCTACTTCTGAGGTAGGGATCCTTCAGCTCAGCCTTCCTTGCTTGGAGTGGGCAGCATCCTGAGTGGGCTCAGGATGGAGTGGGCTCTGCTAAATCCTGACTGGGATGGGCACTGAGCACTGGCAGCTCGTGGATCCTCTGACCCACCCAGTCTAAAGGCACTGATTGTCTCTCCTCATCTGAGCAGTCCTGGAATTTACATGATTTTGGCCACTTTTTCTTGTTTCTACATCGTTCATCCCTTTTGTGCAGGGCAATCATCTGAGCAGTCCTGGAATTTACATGATTTGGGCCACTTTTTCTTGTTTCTACATCATTCATCCCTTTTGTGCAGGGCAATGGGATATGGTGTAGGGGAGAACTTTAGAGTAGGGTAGATGGTTGGACTCGATGATCCTGAGGGTCTTTTCCAGCCTAGATGATTCTGTGATTCTGTGAAATGTAGTGTCAGCATAAGCAGCCACTGGCTTTTTATTTATGATTTAACCCATCCCTTGATGACTGAAGGTTCAGCCCTGTACCTGTATGGCCTTTGTCAGAGGAGAGCCTGCATACCTGCTGGTGCAGTGTCTTTGTCCTCCCAGTGCCTCTCTAAGGACAGTCCAGAGATCATTTACCCGTTTTAAGGAAAGAACAAGATGGAAAGAGAATAAGGAGTAATTACTGGGTTGTCACTCCTTCCCTGTATCCCATTTCTCTTCTGAATTCCCCCACGACAGCTACTGAGGGACATCAAGTTTGTGTTCTTTTGAGGTTTTGTTGTAAATCAGCAGAAGTCTATCACAATACTCTTTGCAGCTGGTGGCACTGAAATTTTTTAGCATAATTTGCTAGGCTCTGCATGCATGAAAAATTGGGATGTCCCTGGCATTGGACAGCTGAGTCATAGCTGTGAACTTGGGCAGCTCTTGCCCTTGCTGTGTGGGGTAATCAAGTGAGCTGCTGGGAAGTTGTGCAGATTCAACAGATGCTGAGTGATTAGTGAGTCTGGGAAATACATTCCTGACTGATTCCAGGAGCTCTACCCTTGAATTTAGAGTGAGATACTGAGAATTCAATAAACTGCACAGCTTGAGAACTTACTCTTCCAGAGGCTGGGAGGAAGGACGGGCAGATTTTAATGCTTAAGAAGAAATCTGTGTCTGTAGAATGCACAGTGTTGGTCAGTTTCTCCTTAAGCTTTCTGGGGTCCTGTGTCCTGGTTTCAGAGCTGATACTCAAACTAGCAATCCTGCATTCACAAGCTTATACCCCGTAATAAATGTCCTTTTTTTTTTGCTGAAACTTCTTTGCTGCTTTTCCTACGTGGAAGAAATGAGTTGTACCCAAGAATACGCTAATTTTCTGCTGTTTTTCTGTGCCTCCATCGTTCCTCAGGACTGCTGGCAATGTACCAAGTGCAAGAAATTTAACTCTCCGGGCAAACGGTACTGTTACCGCTGCTGGGCCTTACGGAAGGACTGGTACTCAGATTGTCCCAAACTGGCTCATTCTCTTTCTCTGTCCAACATTGATGCTATGCAAAACAAACCCGATGATGAAGGGATAGACGTCCCCGACTGCCGAAGGACTATTTCTGCTCCCGTTGGCCAACCCAAAGACCTCTACGTGGTAGAAAACAAACCACACGTAGATCCCAGCAGCTCCATTGAGTCTTTGGATTTGGCACGAGAATGTGAAAGCAAAGAGTCTCTGCTGCATTTCACTGAGCGTAAAAAGGAGGAAGAAATACAGTCTTTAGAGAGTATAAAAAAATTACTGAGTCCTTGCTTCTTATGTCATCATAGACCACGGGATGGGAATATCGTCCATGGAAGGACTGCTCACCTTGTGGCCTGTTTCAAGTGTGCAAAGATGCTGAAGAAAAGGAGATCACCTTGCCCAGTGTGCAGGAAAGAGATTGAGATGGTGATCAGGATCTTTATGGGGTAGTTGTGCCTGTTCAGTCCTTCTCCAAAAGGGAGCACACAGGTTTTCTTGCACTCCCACAAATCCCAACTTCAGAACTCGGCTGGTGAATACCAAAGAGAATTGAGATTCAAATCTGACCAAGAACACTGAGGAAGCCTTGGTATTAAATGAAGCAGCATCCACTTTTCAACGTCCATTTAAATGAAAGCTCACGGGGAGTGACTGGTGCATTGGTATCAACGCCCCAGCTTTGAAATCTTCTCATTTCAGCTCAGTGGTGTCACTGGGATTCTCTGTTGTGACAACTGGTCCTTGCAGAAAGCAAGTTTCGGAAAGAGTTCTAACTTTGGCTGTTGGAGTGATGTTCTCCAGTCAGTCAGACCTGTGCAATGCCTTCTATGGGGGGGTCTGCATCTGAGAGAGAAATATATAGATTTTTATATATATATATATGTATGCAGGGGTGGGCAGGGGTAGGGAAGGGTAGACCACGGCGTTTGCAATTTAGATAAGCCATTTCTCCAAGGATCAGTTCTCCTGAGAGCAGTGAGAAGTAAATAACTTGGTTTCTGGGTTGGTTTTTTTTTGTTGTTTAACGTAGGGTTGTTAGAACAAGTGAAGGTCCTCTTGATGCCAGAAGTGAAATAAGTCCTCCTACACTTTTAATCCGTAGCTATCTCAGGTCACGTGTTAGACGGTGAAAGAGTGGAATGTTATACTTGGCTTTGTCATTGGATCTTTTGATTTCTATTGATTTTTTTTTATTATTATTTTTTTTTTCCCCCCATGTAAACCTAGTTCTGTGTCACCTGTGCATAGCTTTGAGGAAACCTGTCCAGCCTTAGCTCAGAATCTGCTCTGCCAGCTGGATTCAATTCTAACAGCTCTGTGCTTTGGGATGTTCTCACAGCTCTGTGCCTACAGCCCCATCGTGGCTTCTCCCTGCCTCATCCCAGCAGGCCAGCCTGGATGGAAGATGCTCACTTTAGAGCATGATGGGGCTTTAAAGACAGGATATGGGCCTTTCAGGAAAAAAAAATAATCCCTGCAAAGCACCACTTGCAGCTGGTTAGTCTTTGGGCTGTGCCTGGTGTTAGTTTGTTTTAATTTTCTCCACTGATTTTCTTTCCCTGTGATTTAACACTTCAGAGCTGTTCTTACCTTGTCCCTCAAAGCTATGCACGGTTGCTCTACTGGCTGTTAAAACTCAGATAGAACTTGCTGTTTAAAAACCTCTAACCCTCTTTTGGGATCGTATCCTAGAGAGTGCTCAGATCTTCTTCAGCCTTCCTCTTCTCCAGGGCTTTGGAAGTTCTGCATCAGGCAGCAGTAGCAACAGTGCCTTCACCTCTGGGGTAAACAGGCATCTGAATTTATAGTACAGCGTGTAGAATAAACCCTCTTTTCTCATCTTCTCTAGAATTCCCTTTCTAATCTAAGAAGTAGTTCTAAAGATCAGAAAAAAAAAAAAAGAAAAAAAAAAAAGGAAGGTGGTGCTCGTACCTTGGTGCTTCTCTGGGCTCTTTCCCCCTCGTTTTCCACACTCCTTGTGCTGGTGCAGCCCCAGCAGGTCAGGCATTGTGTGGGAGGACCCAGCAGAAGGTCCCAGCAAAATGCAATGCCCAAGTTGATGTTTTTCTGCAAAGATATCAGGAGTAGGTGCTATATGTAATCACTGCCAAAAGTCAGATCTACTTTATTGTATTTTGCATAGTGTTGTGATTATTTCTGTGTCGGCTGTAATTTAGACTTTTATTGTTGGCTGTTACTTCCAGTTGTATTTTATAAATGGGAGGATGAGGGGGTGGAGTTCTGGTGCACTATGTGTATGTCCATGGAAATCAATCCACGGGGAAAAGCTGATTAATTGCTCCCTTAACGAGAGGGCTGTTAAATTGCTGGTGATGCACTTTAACCATGCTACGATCAGTGTGACTGCCTGGGATCATGGAAGGGAGTTCACGTCAGGTTGTTTCTTCCCTTTTTGGGTTGTTTCTTCCCTTTTCAGGTAGTTTTCTTCTCTTTAGAGGTTAAGGCTGTCGGGTTCAGCAGGGTGCCCTTGTGGCACTTTGTGGCACTTCTGAATGCTGTGAATTCCCCCGATGGCTTCTAAAAACCAAACGTTTTGCTACGAGCAGTTTTACTGAATTGGTCAGATCTGGCCACACTGAAAAGGATGTAGTTTGTATTGACAAAAAAAGTCAGGAGAGTTTAAATTCCAGTAACAAACAGGGTTGAACATCCTTCCCAAAATCCTATGGAGCTCTGTGTGCGGCTCCCATTATTAAATGAAAATTGTCAGTGTGGCATTTTGAGATAAAAAGCCAATCTGCAGAGTAGCTTTCAGTGTGACAGTCTTTGTATCTGTGACTCGTTCAGTATAACCACGATGTTTACAAATTGCATCTGTCAAGCCCTTAATTCTTTTAAACTGAAATAGTTGGTGGACAGAAGAACCACAGTGTTAGAGTTGATTTTCCTTCCTATAAGAAGAATAAGCTATTGCAGGGCGAGCACGTCGTGTGTGGGTATAACTGCCCAGGTTGTGGAGGGGTGGGGAGTTTGGTACAGGAGAAGGGGAGAAGAATGTTTTTATTGTTTTAACTTAAGTCTATATAAGTAGTAATTTCTCGAGAACTGCTCTTCTGATGTTCTTTAGGAGGTGCAGGCTTGAGGTTTGGGTTGAGGAACTCGCTCAAGGCACTCACAATGCTCATGTTGCAGGGCAGGCAGGGTGTTACTTACCTTCTCCACAGACGGGTCAGTTCGTGCAGAATCCTAATTGAGAGACTCATTTTTTGGGGAAGCTGAGCATTTGCCCGAGATGGGTGTGAATTTGGGTTCTCTGAACGCCTCGTAGCAGGTGACGGTTCTTCTCTCTTACAGTGGTTTTACTATGAAGTGCAATATGAGAGAAGACCTCCTTGGTAATTAGCAGTCTTTGCTGCACATCTGGTAGGAGAAGCATCCATTGCAACTGTCCTTCCATGCCCAGACTAGAAAGTTTTATCCTTTATCCTGCTTTTTTTTCCCTTCAGTAACATTGGTTGCTGCTCCTCAGGAACTGCTGAAGTCTCACCAACGCGATGTACGTAGCTACAGGGCAGGTTTCATTTCCCAGATCCCTCAGCTTTTCAGCCAGAAGTTTTTGGCACTGCTTATCCCCAGAACCAGCAGATTTCTTACCTTGTTGGGTATTTAAATACAGCGTGAGAGTCAGGAGGCTCTGTATACACCTGGATAGTGCCATTCAGCACATTGTAGTGCTCTGCAGCTCCAAACTGTACGTATATATCTATATGAAGAGGTACACACACTGCATCAGCTCCTGAAAGGGTTTCCAGTTTAAGTGCCTCTTCTCAGTTGCTCAGTGACTCATTTCCTGACGTGCTCAGCACATCAGCCTTTTCTGCAGCGCTCCCTTCAAAAAAAAATCTCAGCATCCCTCCTCAGCTGAGGTGTATTATTGAGCCAATTTAGCCGAAACAAAAGCCGCTACATGAATTACAAAGATGTTTTGGAGCGACCCCCCGCAGTACCTGTTCCTTCTCAACGGTGGGGGTTTCCACAAAGACAGCTATGAACTTTCTGCCTGTGTTCCCTATTTATTACGGGGCCCGACTGATTGAAACCAGAACGCAGCTTCCCTGGGTCTGCTCCATCCTTCTGCCTCCGACGTGGATTGTATCTGCTGCCGAGAAGTTGGCCTCGCAGAGAAGAAGTGGCTGTTGGACAAATGGAAGTGGAAATGGAGTGGAAACCAAATGTCTCAAAAACTGTAGGAGCAGGTCACTTTTGCCTCTCCAGGCTCTGCCTGTCCCGAACTTCACCTTCCAAATCCTGGAAGGAAAACCAAAACGCTCTCCCCAGAGGCCTTCAGTGAAGGCTGGCCTGTTTGGAAGATGCCACGATAAAGTGATTGAAGAAAGAGCCAGGGCACCTGTCTTCTCCATTCTGTCTCTGTCCATAAGCTGAGCGGGGAGCTCCTCAGGTCCTGTGCTTGCTCTTTGGCCACCTGGACATGGGCAAGTAGCCTCAGGATCCTTGAGAAGGAGATACCGCGACGCTGTTTTATCAAGAGCAGGAATGAGACCCACCAGTGATACAGGGGTGACAAACTGTGCATTTGGAAAAGCTCTGGAAGCACAAAGACCTTCCTACAGCAGTTTTTCTGCTCTTCCTTCGGTTATCTGCCCACAATGGCTGGAATTTCCCTTGCCTTTTGAAAACAAGTGAGACCCTTGTGACCACACGGTAGCATCTGGCCAGCAGACAGGTCCAGCTGCCACCAGTGGGGTTAGAGGTCCCACCAGCTCCCTCTCTGCACCTTATTCCAATGACTAGAGGCAGCTGCTGTGATTGCAGCCATGGGGTTTCTGTGCTGTTTTACCCCGGTGACGTCCACTTGTTGTCCATGTGGACACCCCATGCTCTTTGGGGAGCCCCAGCCACCAAACCGGTCACCGCTCTCCGACTCCTAGAAGACATCACGGATGAAAAACAAGTGAGACCCTTGTGACCACACGGTAGCATCTGGCCAGCAGACAGGTCCAGCTGCCACCAGTGGGGTTAGAGGTCCCACCAGCTCCCTCTCTGCACCTTATTCCAATGACTAGAGGCAGCTGCTGTGATTGCAGCCATGGGGTTTCTGTGCTGTTTTACCCCGGTGACGTCCACTTGTTGTCCATGTGGACACCCCATGCTCTTTGGGGAGCCCCAGCCACCAAACCGGTCACCGCTCTCCGACTCCTAGAAGACATCACGGATCTGAGAAGACCCACAAAGACAGCAGGAACACGCTGTACCTCTGGCAAAGATAAAATTGATGTGCCATTCTGGAAAGATCTATTTCCTACCAGCTCTCCCCAGCACCCTTCCCTGCAGCCCGTTGTTCCCAGATTTATTTTTCTTGTTTAGAAAAATTCCACGTCTCCGTGTCCACCCCCACAGCCACCGCAGCCACAAGCGGGAGCGCTCGCTCAACAACAGCTGCGTGTTTGCACTATTGGGGAAAAAAAACCAAAAACAACCCACAAACCAAAAAGGCAATGTATCACAAGATTGATGACCTGCTTTTGTGTCCTGCACGTAATGAATTTAATTAAATTGAGCGCGTTCTATGATATCGTGGGTTTAGTTTTTTTTCATTTCTGCTACATTTTCGGGGAAGAGCTTTAAGTAAAGAGCTCTTGCTGGTTCAGGAGATTGTGATCTCCCTCTGTGTCTGCCTGCCCAGGGAGGGAGGGAGAGCCCTCCTGACCCCTCCCAGGGTCTCGCAGCTGGAAGGGGAGATGGTAGCATGGTGTGTTGGCAGAAACCAGCAGGATTGGGAACAGCTCAAGCTTCATCTCCTGAAACTTGGAAAAATACTTACTGGGGTGTTTTTAAGCTGGTTCCAGCAGCCAGTCCAGTCTGCCTGCCCAGGGAGGGAGGGAGAGCCCTTCCTGTCCCTC